CCTTAGCAAAGCGCATCCCAGGCTGCATAGCCGCACTACCCTACCCAACCATACCACACATAAACATGACACTACCCCCGGGGTTTACACAGACGAGCCGGCGAAGCAAGAAGAGCGCCAGAAGAAAGGGCCCTAGCCGGCGGGGCCCAGCCAGGACAAAAGGAGGTCCCACAAAGCGCCTACACCGGCCGCATTTGCGGTCGGGGTAGACGACGGATGGGGCCCACCTACGAAGGCTGTCCAGGCCTACACGAGATGAGGCAGGATAAAGAGGGATAATCCCCCTCGATCCCAAATCATTGAGGCCAATTTCTAGCCATAGAATAATGGCGCGCGATTTTTGATTTGTTTTTATCCCCTTAATCAATACCCAGAAGGCCGGGCGTCACTTTTGGGACACCCTGTATATGTTAACGGAATAATTTAGCGGCATCTAATGGCAGCACTAAGGATCGACTACAAATGGAATTTAAAAAAAAAATCCAAGAAAATGTCTGATATTTCCAGAATTCCAGTTTTTTTCGGTTTTACAACTTTTCTATACAATACTCTGGTTTTATACAGTTCGATGTCTACTTATACAGAAAAAGACTTACTTCGGAAAAGGATGGGCATGTTCTGCAGGGCACTGCCGTCAAAGTCCGGATCGTCCTCATCGAAGAGGATGCCCTCCTCGAACTCGGTGAACCCCTCAAGCTTGGTGTTGCTCTCCACGCGCAGCATCTGCAAAAGAACGAGAGCCACATTGAAATCTGTGTTCAGGGTCTACTACAATAACCTGCAGCAGGCACTAACTCGTAAAAATAAAAATTGTTTAAATTTAGAATTAGTAGCCAAAACAATACAGTTAGTGGTATGGTGGAGATCAGTCCAAATGGCAATTTCACAGGAATTTTCTTGATTGTCGACGTTTCGTCTCTTATTGAAGCACACACATTTAAATAATTAATTGAATAAAAGCTATTAAATACACGAGTAATAAAAATACAAATATAATAAACATATAAGTATGTTAGTTACATCGGAAATAGGATTTCGGCGTTATGAATAATATGTACAATACCGTTCAGAGACAGCCAATCCACTTTACTTCGAGACTTTCGGTAAACCCGATTTCCTTGATTCTTAATAAAAAAAAATAAACCGACACGTTAAATCAAGGTAAGTGAGGTCAAGTTAGGTTAGCTTAGGTTTTTGGTAAGAGTCTGAAGATTTCCCAATAACGAGAACAAATGTCGATATTCAGAAAATTTATGTTTCTTAAGTTCCCATTAACTATAGGCTACAATATTAGATAAACTAACACAACACAATAACAACTGACACAAAAACTTAAATAGTTTTGATTTCCCACTTGATGCAAGTCAAAAAAAATATTATTCGGTGCTGCATTTTTGCGACGCGGCAGATTAATTTAAGTTTTAGCATATTTAATAATTATAACTTCTAAAAAATATTTAGGAGAGGGTTAGACAATAACGATAGTAAAAGCAAGAACGTCTTTGGATTATTTTGATGCTATCAAGGAAACTTTCGACAAGCAGCACCTACTAAATCAAAGAAATAGCATTTCAATGTTTATAAACAGTAATGTGACGATAAACTTTCTCTCCTCCTGTCACTCGACTAATCACAGAAGTATACAACCTCTTTTAAAACTGTAAATACTTCAGCATAGTTCTGTGAACCGAAAAACATCACTTTATTGCAGAATACCGGTTTGAAAATAGTTATATAGACTAACACAAAATAGTAACTAAACAAATACCTAGGTACCTAGTTTTTAAAATTATATACCTAAAAGGTACATAGGTACTTTGTTTTAAAAATTAAAATATGTATTTTGCATTAACTTTCATATCTAATCGCTAACGATTTATTATCTGAAATTGTCAGGACTGACGTCAAATCCATATTTTTTACTGTAGAGGGCAAAAAGCGTTAAACGATTATAGTATAGTTTTCCTCCAGTCTATCTATATTGAAATTTAACAAAACCGAGTAATTAAGTAACTAAAAATATGAACAACCCTGCTTTTTATAAAACATAACACAAGGCCTTAGGGGCCCAAATAAACAGTCGTGAGTCGCAGTGACCCGTCTTGGACCGCGGACCAGCAGCAAGCGTAACAAAAACAAAAGTGCAACCCACCTAACCTCAAATAACTTTCCAAATCGAGTTACAGTGATATTTTTACCTCGTCAACTCACGGTTACCACTTAAACTTACTAATACCTTGGCATGTACTCAACTTACCTTGACTATGTACCAGTTTTTTTAAATATAACTCCCCAAACAACCAGAAATTTTGGATCAAAGTGCAAACTGCAAACAGACGCGAAGCAACCGCCCGGAGCAAAACCTACTCACTGCTTTTAACTTTTCTTGGCCTGCTTGGAATGCAGCACACAGGTCGAAGACTTCCCAAAGAGAGAGAAGTGCTAGCTGTTTCTTATTTACTTTTATGAGTTCTTGTGATTATGCAGTTATTGCAGCTATATAGATTGAATGCTTGACGCGAACTACGAATTCCTTGTTTTTTTTTATTGCAGGTGATAGGGATTATTGCATTATTACGATGATAAGAGTACGTATTTTTAGATTGTTGAAGAGTTATTTGTTGGTCATTTGTTTTTTAATTCAGATCTATTTTTAAGTTGGCAAAGTGTATTGTTTTCAAAGCCCTTCCTACATGTGAAACTACACCTTATTTTTTTTATAATCTTATCAAACAGAGCCGGATTGTAAGAATTTCTATTAAAAATTCATGAGCGAACTACATTTCATATACCTATTTTGTATGCAACATGTTATAATTTAAGACAACCAACAGTTTATTAGATTAACAGACAAGTTATTGACTACCTACTTACTTCTTGAGGTTTAGTTAAATAAACTTACATTTCTTTGGGAGATAAATATAAATATAATCCACCCCTGCTTCAAAGAAGCGATAACAATGCATTTCAGAACGAGAAGAATATCTTTCCGAAATCACGAATATAAAATATTACAAATAAGTATAAGTTTATTAGTTCTTGCATTATATTAATAATTAATACTGTACGAATATTTTTAAAATCACTAATTATTAAAATCCATATATTTATTTAATATTACCGTATTACTAAAAACATAATAAACATATATAACTCTTATTAGACCAATTTTAAATTCAGAGCAAAGTACATAGTGCCATCTGTTAATTGATTATATAATCTTTCTTCTAGATTTGTGTCTACAGTGCTCTTTTTTTTGTTCTTAAATGTTTTCCGAGCACCCGGTTCGTTAATATTTTATAGTTTAGGCACAGCAAATAAAACAATTGTTTTATATGCTGTGGTTTAGGTTTGAAGGCTTGTAATTTGTAATAAAAATAATAGATTTTATTTTAACAATACTAAAATTACCTGTGAAAATTACCAAAGCTTCGTTTAGATGCCACTTGCCAGGATATTTATAGATCCGGATATTAGGACATTAGGACTACCTACCTACAATCATACCTACAATATTGTCATAAAGAAATGATAATTTTCAGGGAGAATTGGTTAGTTTTAAACTTCAATTTTCGAAAGATAGCAACAAGATGATTTGTCACAAATTATAAAAAAAGAGGTTACGTGTTAAAATGTTAAAAGGTTAAAATAATAGGTATATTTATAAAATTAATAACCTCGCATTTTCACAGAATTATAGAAATACATTATTTCTTTAATAGTTTAATTCACAGTTTTTTAGAGTGAATAGATATAATTATGATTTTTAAATCACTTACAAATGTTGTACCTATGAGGATAAGAATGGTAAGATTAGAAAATTATAGAAACAAAACAAACCCTATAGGTATATAAAACTCATTTTAGTCATACCTGAACAATTGGCTACGGCGAAATTCGTCCTCTGTATCCATTAACGTGGAGTTTTGTGATGGGGTGAAGAAAATAACAATGACTGACCAAAAGTCCAGGTGAGCAAATTCTTACGGAGAAATCTTTTTTTTTTGTGAAAATGTTTGTGTTTATAGAAATTCTTTATCTTTAGCCATGATGCAAAGTCTATTAGAAAATATAGAAAAGGATAAATACAATCAGAAATTAAGAGTTATAGTTCTAGCTGCTGAAGGACCTGTATTTTCTGCAGGACATAATCTGAAGGAACTTGTGAGTAAATTGACCAATATGATGAAATACCTTACACTTCAGTTAGTTTCACGTAATGGGATACCTTCACATTCTTGTAGGCACCTGAATCTGGAAGACCGCAACATGAAAAAGTATTCCAATTGGCTTCAAAGCTTATGTACAGTATAATTGATAGTCCTGTTCCGATCGTGGCTCAAATAAACGGCTTAGCTGCTGCAGCAGGATGCCAGTTGGTAGCGCAGTGTGACATTGTAGTCTGTACGGAACACAGCAAGTTTTCCACGCCAGGGTAAACCATACACAAAACTTTCTAAGTAGAAACTCGTATACCTTTTTTTAGTGCCAATTTCGGTATTTTCTGCTCTACACCGGGCATTCCTCTTGCTAGAAAAGTCCAGAAGTCTACTGCTCTAAACATGTTGCTTACAGGGCTACCGATATCAGCTGCCGAAGCGCTAAAAAGTGGCCTTGTCACTAAAGTGTGTGCACTCGAGGACCTCGAAAGCGAGGTAGATAAAATCTGTCAAGAAATCATGGCAAAAAGCAGGTCTGTAATAGCAGTAGGGAAGAGATTTTATTATAGGCAAGTGGAGTTGGATATTAAGAAAGCGTATGAGCTTGGTGCCAATCAGATGGTTGAGAATTTACAAATGGCCGATGGGAAAGAGGGGGTGAGAAGTTTTGTTGAGAAACGGAAACCCATATGGACTCATAAAAATGAATAGAATTTAAAATATAAGATTCAACCCCTTTGTTTGTTTTTTTGCAGTAAAGAAATAGTATATAATTATTTTTTTTATTTTTCCTTTCGTCATTCGTCGGAAAATATCATTAGTCCAGTCATATGGGAATTCAACCTCGGGATGAAAGATAATAAGCTATAAACTTGTATATCTTTGTTTTTACATTTTATAAGGTCAGCTCAAAAGTCTCAGAATCTCGCGTACTAGTGGAGATATTCAAGGTCAAAGGTTTTTTTTGTAAATATCTTATTTTCTTTGGTCTAAATGACAGAGTTATTAGAAAACTTGTAGAGCATAAAATTCTGTACAAATTTGGTCTTTGGTAATATTTCATACAATTAACTGTTCTTGACTAAAGTGCCAAGAGGGGAAAGCACTTAGTCGTATGTATGATAACGGTCATCTGTAGAATCCAGTACATAGTACAATTTATAAAGTTAATTATTCACTAAAATATAATTATAATTATTAAAAAACTGTAATTATTTACGAGGTTTATTCCTAATTGGAATTTTTGTTTTAAGGAGCAAGTTAAGGAAATAACGCGACAAGCTTTTATAAGAACATGAACATACTGATTACAGATGGTACGTGTCTATTTATCATACTTTTGCTGATGACACTTCTACCGAGTGACTCAGTTTGGTATTCGCGGCACTTATCTCTTTTATTTTAACAAATAGCTCTAACATACCCTATATATTTTTAAATCGCCGGTCAAACTATATCAAATGGCATTATTAGATCGTCTCCATGGTAACAAATGTCAAAATTGTTATAGTCGACTGTTTTTGTTCAAATAGCACACTATATATTTTTTTATCAATTCTGGAAGATATATTTTTTCTGCGTACATCTATGTAAGGAAGTCTATCCGCGATAATTTTTAAGATGCAAGCGCACCAAGCGGCGAAAGCAGTAAGCTCCCAAACAAGGTAATTTTGATGACATTGCCGTTCGCGTTTACACATTCATTTGAACAACATTTGTCTTATTTGCCATTATTATTAGTAATTTTGTTATCAAACTGCGGTTATTTCACTTTTGTGTTGTTTTATAGGTTTCAAATATTTCATAAATAAATTTTAAGGCAAGTATTTATGTCTACTTTATTTGTCTCTAGCATTACAATGTAATGTACATTTTATTAAGTTATAACTATGAACTTATCCGTTGTGGAATACATTTCCTATTTACATATATGCTAACGAAAACTCTCGTCGTATATTAGAAGGAGAGGCAGTTTTTAAGGCTGATCATGTGGTACTATATGGGAAAATTGAGCAAAGTTAATTTAAATTTAGAAATTTATATTATGTCTGCAGACTAGTGCCCTTACTTACTAACAACCCTCATGAAATTCAGGGAGTATTATCTATCGGCAATAATATTTTGAAAATTTCTTCAATGGTTTGATGAAAACTTAATTCTGGATTTTTCTTGGACCATGAAGAGCAACCTTGAACTGAACAATAATAGTTTGACGGTTTCTTCTTTCTATCTATCCATAATTGCTGAAATTTTCCTCACACTATTTTCTTAAAATAACACTGTTCAAAAAACGAACACTAAATTCAGTTTTAAATAAAATACAAAACGAAATGTCACACACAGAAGAAATATTTACCTTGTTTCGCTAGTATCACTTGTCACCGTCAGAGGGCGAGCTCTTAGCTGCATTCGCGAATAGTTTCATTAGAAATATTGCTATGCTAGAAAAACAGCAAAAACGATGAAGCTTTATTCTGAAAAATAGCCAGCTGCGGAAACAAGTTACTATGTTTTTGTAAAGTAACGTATTCTATTATTAATATGATAATAATATAACAATTTAAAACAATACTTATTTTAAATGTTCAAAATGACCTCCATTTGCTTCCAAACACATAACAGCACTTGTTTATCACTCCCTCTCTACAAACACATTCTAGTGTTTCTTCATTTAATCTCCGACATACTACTCTTATTCTGTTTTTAAAACTTCCATCTGCCCCCAAATTCCTGGCTAACTTTCCGAAAATTTTAGCTGGTGGAAGTTGTCTGGGGAAAACAATGTTGGTATAAATACCTGCAACATTTATCGTTCTTTCGGCACTCCATAAATTAAAATCAAATCTAGTTTTTCTTGGTTACAGTAAGTATTCATGTTATAGAATTATAGATATAATAGGTAGGTACAAAATGTCAATTATTTTGACAAACCATTATTTAGAAATGTCATAATTCAGTTGTTTCCACAGCTGGCTATCATTTTTCAGAATAAAGCTACGGTAAAGTAAGGTTAATCATTTCTGCTGTTTTTCTATAAATATTTCTAATGAAACTATAAACTTCCTTACATAGCTGAACACAGAAAAAAAATATCTTCCAGAATTGATAAAAATATATATAGTATGCCATTTGAAAAAAAACAGTTGACTATAGCAATTTTGACATATGTTGTCATGGAGACGATCTAATAAAGTTATTTGATAGAGTTTGAGTGGCAATTTAAAAATATATAGGACTTGTTAGAGCTATTTGTTAAAATAAAAGAGATACGAGGCCGTGAATATCAAACTGAATCGCCCGGTATAGAGCAGCCATATTCAACCTTTTTGTGGGTTTGGGGTCTACACGACATTATGGGTTTTTTGAACTTCTCACTTATAAGATATTTATTTTTTACTTTTCATTTATTTACACCTTTTTAGTTAGAAATATTTCTCAATCTATCCATTTCAAGATACGCCTCTGCTACTAACCGTTGAGGAGTGCCCTCATGATAATCCTGGCTGTAACATCATTTCATTTCTTTGAGTGGGGGTCATATTTATAAAGAGGCTTCCTTTGTCCTTTAGAAACATGAAGCAATAGTTTAATTTTTCAAATTCGGTCGTAAAAACTTAATTTTTGTTTAACCTTTTTTTTAGTAATTTTCGTACCCCGCCGCTGAAAAAGCTTGTGTAACCAAAAATAATGGTACGCTTTTGTCACAGCGCATGCACAATGCCACAGCATTTGCCGCGAGTTACTATCGTTGAGTGGGTGTTCGCCACACAAACAGTACTTAATAATCTGGCAAGCAGTAATCAATAATGATAAATGATATACACAAAAATAAATAGTCTGCTGATGGCTTCCAATGATAAAAAACATTTAAATTTGCAGTTAGATGTAGTCTCCAAATTAGGAACTGACGCCTTCCGCATCGTCACCGTTGACCTGCACTATCTCCCTTCACATGCACTGTAGGTTGCCTACAATTCGTTTATTTGTAATAAGTGAATATTACAGTGGCAGCGCACACAAGTATTAAAGTACATTTAAAAAAACTAATTGTAACTTGACTATTTCATTAAAAAAAAAAGAATTTCAGATTCGTATCGGGGGGAACAAGTATTATTACCTTTACTGCTAAAAAACTGAAACCCGCTTCAAATTACACCCTGTATGTATCTTTGTAAATGGAAATTTCTTTTAATCTACTAGAAATTTAATTAATAATTATTTTTTTTATAATTTAATTTTTAATAATTTTTTAATAATTTTAATAATTACTAAAATTTTTTAGGTAATTTTTTAGTTAAATCTTACTACGTCCCCGCTGTTTAGAAGTAAGCAATAAAACAATTTGCAATTACTGTTAATTTCTTAATTTATTATTACAAAAGACATAATATAAATGATATAATAAACATCCTTTTTTTCATCTGTGCCCAGTGACCATAAATTCGTCACGAAATAAAACACGCTATTGAACTTCTCCGCACATTGAACAGTGAAACACATTTATATTAATTAATATTGCAATAATATGAAAACTGAGTGATATCTTAAAAATAAATTTATTTTTTTCCTAGGGCTTTCTTCACCTGAGCCGTTTTTTCTTTAGCAGCATTTTCCTTTTCTAAAATGAAAAAAATATAGTACTAACAACTTTACCACACAGCAATAATTTGATAAGTAAAACTAGGCATTTGTAAATAAGTCCTCAGCGATGAAATTGTAATTACTTACTAAGGCATACAACTCGCTTAAAATTAAAAATGCACAAAATTTTTCCCACAACCTATTTTCGAGGGCGTACCAAATGAATCTGAAGTTATTTTTGTGTGGTCAAACCAAGTTCTTGAGAACGTTTTTCAACTTTCTAGTTTGACCCAAAATTGAGGTTTGAGACATTTGTGCTATTTATATCAAAAAAAATATATAAAAAATTAATTGTTGCAGTATTATAAACAGAAATTTTGAGATACTGCACAATCAATTTGTTCAAAATATGAGAAAACGTATTGAAAATTCAGGGTTGGAAATTGGTATTTTGTCCCCAAAATTGCAGTAACCTGTAATGTGACTACTCTACCGTTGCTTTCTGGAAACAAAAATCTTGGGTCGTATACGACTAATTAACCGTGATTTTATGAAGCAAAAGAAAGAAAATCAATGTAAACATGTACAGTCTGTTCGATAAGAGCGTGTAGAGCAAAACTAAAAAATTATTTGGGATAATGACTTGAAAAAAATACACACATACTACATGATATACATCATGATGTTTTATAGTGCAGCGATTTGAAGAGTCTATTGTGTCGTTTTTTTTTTTTGACGTAGAACCAGGTCAGACATAGTAGATTTTATTAAGCATGTGATTGGGCATATGAAATCGTATTTTACGACATTTTTTGTTGGTCGGGATCTTTTTAATTTCGAAAAAATAAAAAAAAACTATTTTTATGAGAATATGTTTTTTAAGGTCACCACCGTTATATCTCAAAAAATAATTGTACTATCAGAGTAATTTTTTTTTTTTAAATTAAAGCAGATACAATAGCACTTTTAACAGTACTAATGGATGGAAAATAAAAGGTTTAAATTTGTTATTATTTTAACAAATCAAAAATATATATTATATGTTTATTATATTATATTTTGTATATTATATGTATACATATTCGCATGATACGTCTGATTGCAAAATACAGGTAAGATCAATGTTTTGAAACCTAGCATATGATTTACGACAGTCTATAAGGTATTCTATTTTAATTTCGCCATTTAAAATATTGTTTTTTTTTTTACAACAAATCTTGAATTCTAGGTCTTTGTACTACAGATTTGTCTTCATCCCGCACATTTTCTTACAAATAATGCACTCCATTGTCTTAAAAACTTAATATATTCTGATGATTATTACACACTGCTTATTAGGCACGTATCTACTCCAAATCCCGCAAGCCGTACACTATGTAGATTACACATTACGTTGGATGCCCCATGCATCAGTTTAGCGCGCTATGAAATAATCGCTTGTTGCCAAACTATAAGCTTTAGGAAAAAACTAATTATTTCAAAAATTTATGTAGTGTATGGGCTTCATTTTCTTCGCTGCATATATATAAAAAAAATCATAAATAAAAAAGTTTATCGATTGGTGAAAATTGTATTACACAAAATTTTAATTTAAAGTTTTCCTGATTTTTAGCGAAATGAAAAAGCGAGTTTTATAAAATTCATTAGTACTGTTAAAAGCGCTATTGTCTGCTTTAATTTAAAAAAAAATTACTCTAATAGTACAATTATTTTTTGAGATATAACGGTGGAGACCTTAAAAAACATTCTCATAAAAATATTATTTTTCTATTTTTTCGAAATTAACCCTTTCGCTGCGCAATACGTCTGAACGTAGCTACTGCGCCGTGCGCGATTGTTTATCGCGTGCGAATATATACGTCTGGAGCAGTTAGACCACTTATAGTTTTACATTATGTTGTGTTAAATTACGATTTACGATAAATTTTACGATTTTATTTTGAATAAAATACAGTATATGTAATAAATAGAAACTGAAAGAAACATGAACAATCTTGGTACTATTACCAGTACCTCTTTCCATAAAAATATTTGTCACAATCGGTATAAGCTCGCCCGCAAAAATTCGCCTTACCAATTGCAATAACCGAGTCACTAATACGCACGGTTACGAATATATACAGTTTGAGCAGCCTGATCCAATTTAACTATTCATGCGAATTTATCCGTCTGGAGCAGTTTGAGCCCAATAAATTTTTAGCGAATATATACGTCTGGAGCAGTGAAAGGGTCAAAAAGATCCCGACCAACAAAAAATGTCGCAAAATACGAGTTCATATGCCCAATCATATGCTTAATAAAACCTACCATGTCTGACCTGGTTCTACGCCAGTTTTTTTTTTTATTTCGATAACTAAGCGACGGCGTTGCAATTTTGCTCGTCTATTATTATTAATAATATGTCCAATCGCCTCCATTATTAATAATTGCCTGGCATTGGCCTGAAATACATTTTCTACTAATTTTATAGCATGCTCCTGTGGGAAAGACCTCCACGCCAATCGAATCCGTAGAAATAACTGCTTAACGGTCCAGATCTTCTTCCCTTGGAGCTTCAATTTCATGAACACCCACACATTTTCTATTGGATTTGCATCTGGCGACTGCAACGGCCAATCCAGTATGTTAACGTCATTTTCTTGCTTCCACAAAGACTTTAGACTTAGATTAGAAGACTTAGACTTCCACTTCTACAAAGACGACTGCGATGTTTTGGGTCATTGTCTTCTTGCAGTAGCCAATTTTCATTTTTCTGCGTAAACCACCTTTCGGCATATGGTAATACAGCCCTCTGATATATTTTGACAATTTTAGCAGTGTTCAAATTTCCTGTGAAGATGTGCATATTGCTAAAGCCCTGCTTTGAGAGACACACCCAGACGTGCACTTTTACCAGGTGTTTAACGGTCCACTGGATGGGTCTATTGGCATGGGTAGACCAGGTATGAGTGATAGAAGAACATGCCCAAAAAGAAGCTTCGTCCGAAAAAATTACGTTATCCCAATTACAGTCCAAATTTTCTTTCGCCCAATTGAGTCTTTTTTCGACATGTTTTTCAGACAGTAGCGGTTTCTTCACTTCATGAACCAGTAAACGTCTTCTTATGATGCATTTAGATACTTTTACACAAAATAGTTTGCCCCCTACGCAATGATAGACAAGGATTCTCTCTGACCTCCTTTTTCATCGTTTTTGTACAGAACCACAATCCGGTAGGTCATCGACGTTTTTTACGTCGGAATAACGTTTCATCCACTTACTTACAAATGTCTAACTTTTTCATGTACTTAGCGGCCGCTCCGAGCGACATTTGCAGTCCTTTCAAATGTAAACACAGAAATACGGCTCCGTAACGTGATGTGTACGCAGCAGACATTGCAAAATACGTTATTCTGCGATCAGGGTCAAACGACAAGTGAGACATTCTGTAAAAAGCATCTGAGGGGAAGGGTATCACTAACTGCTCAGGTTAAATTTCCCCTATAACGGTTTCGAGGACAAAGTTCTGCCATACACGCTCTTATCAAACAGACTGTATTAGGTCACATGTTGCTTAGTTTTTAATGTACAGGGTGTTCAATGTTGAACTCCGATTAATATTTTCCAAACGTTCAAATGAAACTTTGCATATGTAGTACATTTTTTATGCCATACAAATTTAAATTAGAGTTAACGATAAACAATCATCACGTGAGTTAAAAGCGCAGTTCGACCACATAAAATTAACTTCATTCAACACCACTGAAAATAGGCAATATGTAGGCAACGCTACATTTAATACGTACCATGGAAATGAATGCACAAAGTGTTTTTAATAGCTATTCTTCACTTACCTTTCTGTTCGGCTTCTCTTCTCTTCTTAGCTTCCTCTCTCTGTTGTTTGATGATCGCCAGCCGCGCAAGATCCGCCCTTGCCTGGTCCGTCTTGCCCTCCGCATGCAGCTTCTGGTAATGGGCCTGTGCCCGTTGCCTCTCTATTTCTTCCCTCTCTCGCCTGGATAGCTGTGGCTTGCTCTCTAGATCTGTTGTGTTCAGAGTAGAGAGTTTCTTTACTTTCTTTTGTACCCTATTTGGATTCTCTATTTCTATTAGATTAGAAACACCTTTTGCTTTCTTCTAAAAAAAATAATTTAGTACTTAATCATTAAAATCGTTTTAATCAGCAGTACGAGAATAAAAGAATTACACTCAATTTTTAGAGCTCGTTCAAAAAATTATGTAACAAAAATGGTTATTCATCATGTAATGAAATTAACTTTGGGTGGCCAAATTAGTATTTGTTTTTATTTGAAATTTGCGAAAATGTGTTTCTTGGACATTGTTGATTGTTTATTACAGATCTTCTGAAAGCTACATAAAATGTACAGAGTTGTGCGTAGTGTTGTGTGAAATGTCCATGTTAGAATTTTAAAAAATATTCTTTCAAATACTAGATTTGACCTCACAAAAATAACTTCAAAAATCGTGACCAGCACCATCGAAAAGGGGGAGGGTGAGTAAATAATTATCAATTTTTTTGTTAGACTTACATCTTCTTCGCTACTTTCCTCCTCTGATTCACTGCCAGATTCTTCACTAATTTTCTTATCACCGGTAGCCTCATCATCAGATTCCTCACTGCTGCTAACCCCCTGCTGTTGTCTCCACTTCTTTTTTTGCTCTTCTCTCCTTCGTTCTTCTTCCAGTTCTTCTGGGTTCGTAAATCTGCGGTTGCGACCTTTGTGATTTGTAAATTTTCCTAAAAATTTATTCGTGTGAACATTCATATGTCTAATTGCAAGGTGTTGGCCATGATGTCATCAAACTAAAAAAAAATGTTAAAGGAACTTACCTCTAGGCATTATGAATTAAATTACTTAAACTGATTAATACGAACGGCAATTTGATTAAAATTGACGGATTTTAAATACGCAACAAAAATTCCTAAAGATTGACAGTCCACAATTTTTCTGCAATCTTGTACGTATTAGATAGAGAGAGAAAAGCTGTTTTTAAAAAACGGAACGTTCACACTTTCCCGAATGAATAGAATTAACATATAAAGACACTAAAACGAAGTCCCATTGAATTTTACTTTTTATATGCCAATTTCTGAATTCATAATTTTGGAAAACTATTTTTTTTTAGTCATAACTCATAGAGCCACAGAATATGATTATAAATTCTGTGATAGAATAGAAAATAGAACTTAAAGATACCCGTCAACCAGAGATATGGAGTAGGGAGAATGAGCGTCAAGATGCGCAAACTTGTTAATAAAGGAGGTCGCCATTTTGAAGTCTTAGATACGAGGGGGTACTATATTACATTACCAGGTCAGTTCTAAAATTTCAAATTAGAAACGCACATAACTTTACATTAAATTTTGAAATGAAATATGAACTAACAAATACGTACTTTTGAAATTTTCAATTACATATGAATTATTTTTCATAATTTTCTAGGTATATCTGAATATTTATTATATAATAAAAAATTAAATTTTCATATATGCACTTCATAAAAAATATATTAAATACTATATTACTCAAGAACAACGGCTAGAGTTGTATCATNGAAATTGGCCTCAATGATTTGGGATCGAGGGGGATTATCCCTCTTTATCCTGCCTCATCTCGTGTAGGCCTGGACAGCCTTCGTAGGTGGGCCCCATCCGTCGTCTACCCCGACCGCAAATGCGGCCGGTGTAGGCGCTTTGTGGGACCTCCTTTTGTCCTGGCTGGGCCCCGCCGGCTAGGGCCCTTTCTTCTGGCGCTCTTCTTGCTTCGCCGGCTCGTCTGTGTAAACCCCGGGGGTGGTGTCATGTTTATGTGTGGTATGGTTGGGTAGGGTAGTGTGGCTATGCAGCCTGGGATGCGCTTTGCTAAGGTGGCCCTTAGGCTAGCGCGGGAGAAAAGGGGTAAGGAAAGGGCATAGAAAGACAAGTCATAAGCGGGAGGGATTTGGAACTTTCTAATTTTACTAATACCTAGTGTTCTATATTTTCTGTTGCTAATATATACATATTTAAATTTGTATTAATAGTTTACCAGAGGCTTGGTTTGGTTCTGTCAGCGGACAGTTCTAGAACAGTTCAAAATAGTTACACAGGTGTATTACTGTATTGTCATTAATCATTATGTCTTGGCTTAGATGTTTTTATGAATTGAATGGTCAATTAATTTGAACCGTCCTAGAACCGTTCTCTGTCGTAACCAAAACAAAGCTCAATTCACATATCAAATTCATAACGAAAATAAATCATTAAGAATATAAAATATCGTACATGGGGGTAGCTACAATTTTTGCATGGGGTGGGCCTAGGGGCTGCATGCTCTATGGAGCCCTCTAAAAAAAGCGACATGCCGAGATAAAATTTGAACACGTTTTGATTTGATTCTAAAAAAAAAAAATAAGACAAGATTAAAAATTAAAAATGTTGTTAAAAGTATTCAAATTGTTCAGTATTATAAATATTTAAAGTAAAGGTTAATAAAGGCTGGTACAACTGTCAAAGGCATAGAATAATACAAATCAATAAGGACCATACACTTTTTCATTAATAGGTTTCAAGGGGATATCTCCGTACCGACCCGAGAACCATCGACTCAAAGGCCGCTTGCATTCCCTAGCTACAAGCTATCCTCAAAAACCCACTCCTCACGACGACTGGTCAGTTATATTGAGGAGTAGATTTTTCTGTGTTCTGTGGATCCACGAATGTAGCGAGATTTTAAAATTTGAAAATTGTCCCTCTGCGTCTGTACATGAAAATTATGTATGTATTATGTATACTGCTTTTATATTGTTATCCATGTTGCCGGAATTAAATAAATGAGACACCTACTTTCAAGAGGTAATATTTCAAATTTAATTTTTGTCATTCTTATTCAGTGAATGGCGTCAATGGGAATTGCGACGTAAAACTATAGGAGGTGTACCCCCTATATTGTTAAATATCTCATAATCAGTAATTCTTAAACATAAACATAGGATCAGTGTGGGTTATATAAACATGAAAATAAAGATTTCATGCATTCTGGGATTAGCGCAGATTATCAATTTATATCTGGATAAAAAAAAACTCAATATGTCTGATTAATATTCTATTAAAATAAGAAAAATAGCGTCCAATAACATAGATGATTATTATACCTATTTATTGAAAAAAAAAAAAAAAACGTATAAATCAGTTACATGAACTCACAGCCTCACAAATTAACTAGTTATAAATTTTATTTGAAGAAAAGGAAATAGCCGAACCAACAGGTCCGAGGTCTGTAGAAATAGCTGGCTTTTCTACAGGCTGAGTGGCAGCGGTAGATCTGAAAATTGCCAATTAATCACAAATGCCTTTAAATGTTAAGGAGGCAAACCTTTTTCCTTTGCCGACACTCATAGCAAACACACCATCATCCATGATTTTCTTCAAATTATGTACAGAGTAGCGATTGTATTGACCCCAAATGCTGTTCATGTATTTGCTGCTATAGTTCATCGGATTTAATTCTGTAGTATCTGAACGAATTTTATTTATAAGTACGGATTTGGATTAAATTAGGAAATTTAACTTACAGTGAAATTCCTTGCGCTTCTCCTCATTTTTCCTCACTTTCTTGGCGGCAAAGGCTCCTTGCGGTACAGCTGCCATGTTGAGTGAGCAGTCTTAGAAAAATTATTATTATTACTCGTCTGTTACAAACTATTATTATTTCTAATGACTTACCAGGACAAAATCCATAAAACAATTTTCTTCCTCTCATCCAAGTAAGTTTGGAAGGGTTGGTCATAAATTTTATAAAATATTCCGCCTATGCAGGAGAATGCCTCTTAAGTCATTAAATTATTCTAATAGAACTGAAATAACTCTGTCGTTTGGAGATTTTTAAATCGATGCGATGTAGATTAGCGAAAAGGAGAAATATATACGTGTTGTCGGCAGATAGAAAAAGGAAAAACTCAGTTATTGTGGGTCAGAGGGCGTAGGTTATCAAAGTGATAACAACACCACTGTGACAGTGTCTAGATAATAAATAAGAATGTTTGTGAACTATCACATGATGTTAATTTATGATTTATACATAAAACACTTATTTAACTTTTATTGTACGTGTATGTATACAATGTCTTTCACTTTTCATAGAGCCACCCTTACATCCCAATATTTATCTCAAATTTTTTACTCTATTATAAAGGAATTAAGCTAATTCCAACTAATTCACAAAATTCTTTACTAAAAAAGAACCTATCAAAAATGAAGTTGAACAGAGGTCTTGGAAATCACAAGTATGCAAAAAATATCTTACCCCACAGACAATGTTCCTGACGGTGTGGCCCAACTAGCATTGAATTACATCAGCGATACCTAGTAAATAGCTAGTAATTGTTAATATTCCAAAATAATAATAGAATATGATATGGTTAAATATTATCAATATAAAATAAATAAATCAATCAATATTTTTGGTTTTAGAAGGGGACGTTTAGGACCAAAATGAAATTTTGGTATATTAATTATTTAGTATATAAAAATGTTGAAATAACCAACTGAATCAATGAAACATAGTATTGAAAAAGTCCAAATCGTTATTTAAATGAAACTGGGCAACATTTCACGTTATATATTTATTTATAAAAAGTATTTTGAATAAAATATAAAAAATAAAAATGTACATTAAAAATTAATAATAAATTAAGAATAGCAAAGAATATACTACAATCATATAGAATCTTTCCGTAAACTATGGTAACTTGAGTGAGTAATCGATAAAAAGTATTAATTTCCTGAACCATTCTTTACATTGGAAATGAGAATAAAGTTAAAAGAGTATATTTAAAGCTGTTAAAAGTTGCAAAGGATAAGTATGGCAGTCTATTTATTCTATTTGATCGATTAAATCCGTGAAAGTGGAAGTAATCATATTTTAGTTATTCGGCGAACTTAAGACCTTGATGCCACATTCCTTTAATCTAACCAAGTTTTTTGGGTACCTACAAAAAATATAAATATTTCCACTCACAAATAAAATTTGCAATTTACGTTGTTAATAATATTACAGTATCTAGTCTAGCCAACATCACAGTTTAAAAAACAACCTTATCTTCATAAAATGTCTTTTTATTTTAAGATGCAACAAAATCATTAATTTTGGTCCCTAAACGAGAAACAGAATGTGTACAAACAATCGTTTGATGGAACGCAAAAAAAGCACATCTTTTTACGTCTTGGTGGATTTTTAATTCAAATTTTTGAAATGAAAAATGTCAGTCTTTGTATATACGTTGTGATGATTTACATGCCATTCTTTAAGTCGTTCAGGTCTTTACACTTAACAAGGGAACAAAAAACGTTTTTGATATGAAAATAATTTAATAACCGATTATCAGCGAAGTAAATGACCTTGTTCTATAAACGGCATGGTGACTAGACGTCGTTTGAGCTTCTATCTAATTTACATCTGTGTGAGGAGCAACATCAAACATCATTTTATCCGTCTTAAAGGCCACATGAAGGGAACTGACGAAATTCACAACAAACATTAAAATTTAAGAAAAAATAAAACATTGACTAATAAGATAAATAAATTTATATTCACGTATTTGAATAAAAAAAAAATTCCAAAATGTGCGATACAATTTCAACTGAAGTATCAGATAAGACCAAAAATGATAAAATAAAACAAGGTTCAAACAGATCCCATATAGAGAAACGCTTACCATATTCCACCTTAATGCTAATGAGATCTCAATTAGGAACGTTCAAATATAACTGCTTAGTTTTTTTAACACATTGGCAAGAAATTTAAAAAATTCATATAAGGCTTCTAACTATGAATAGATAAGATATACATGGTGTAGTTTTAAGTGGGGGTAATGAATAGTATGTTTCTCAGAAAACGAATCTGATACATATTAATTTTCTTTAAATCAAATAAATAATCAAATTACAACTCATTTTTTAAACTTTCGTCTTAGTTGTATGTGCACGATTATATCAGTGGCGCTTGAAATTACCTCTTCAAACCAATTATGTGAAAAGCATATTGCTTTTCTACGACTTTTTGATACATTATTATTATGTCATCATATTTTTTTTGTCAATGCAGATCAAACTTCGAATATAAAACGTACATAATAAAAAAAATAAATAAAATTACTTACTAATCTGATAGATTCCAAACATTTTTCAAAATTATTTCAAGATTTTAACACAAAGCGCTTATTATTATTTTTAAAACTGTGTCTTTAGTTTATGAAGTTCAATGTCAACCACCTCTGATAGTGACCTAGTTTAGGTGAACTACATAATATCAATGCACCCGATGTGACAACAGGGCACCAGGTACTCAAAAAAATAAATTGAAGTTTTTAGTGACGGTACAGTGTGTTTGTGTGTCCTCATTGTTAAATTTCTGTATGGAATGAAATAACATGTATACCAATTCAGAAAAATTAGATTTGACAAAAAAAAAGTGTGCCACAGCTTATTATTAAACCGACTAAATATCAAATTTGGGAATGAATAATGAAAACAGAGCTTTTCAAAACATAAAATGTGTTATAGTGATTATTGTGTCGTAAAGAATTATCTACACTCTCAGTACAAGATATTTCAAGTTAGAGTAAAAATCAACTTTTTGACCGATTCTTTTAATGCAGTTATTTATAATTTATTTTTCAGCATGGCAGTCAAACACAATCAAATAATACGACCCCCATTCAATGTTAAACCGAAATAATAAATAAATAGCAGAGCTAAAAAAGTTTGTTGCAATCTTCACAATCTGCACCTTCATCTGGTCCGATTGACAGATTTACAGTTTGTAAACATCTATCTATCTAAACGGTGAGACATTGACAATTTCCATGATTAGTTAAAACCTTTAAACAATGAACAGATGAAATTCGTTGATCACACAAATTGACTATTAGACACTTAACGCTATACATCGCCGTGCAGCCTAAAAGCTGTGTTTACCTTACGAGCAGCGAACATTACAGTTTATTGAAAACAAAAAATTATTCTGAAAGGAAACTTATTCCCGTTACAAACAAAAATCATTCGCTGCAAAGGAATATCACATAAATTTCTCAGGTTTTCAAAATATTCTGAAAAATCAATTGCAGTAGAATCTCGACTAGCCCCTCCTTACGAAACCGGATCGTTCACGGATAATTGAATTTTATGATCTTCTAGAAGTCCTGATTTGAATTCAATAGATTGTTATAATTACACGGTTTCATGGAAAAAAAATTCAATGTGTGGAACACTGAATTTGAAACTGGTGTTTGTAAACTTTAAAAATAAATGTTTTAAAAATAGAGAGTTTCGAATTATTTACTTTCTCAGTGAGAAAAATTGACTTAAAGGACAAATTTGAGAACAGAAGTATTAATGACAAAAATAGAGCCTTTCGAAACATAAACTGTGTTAAATTGTTATTATTTTTACTATTATTTAGTTGGATTATTGTAACGAGAAGAATTATCTATTATGTCAGTGACACACTTCTGGTTAGGCAAAACTAAATTTGTGAAATGAACCGACTGATCATTTTGGTGCAAAAGGTTATTTCTTTAAAATTCTTTCTTTCTTTTGTGGCAGAAATACTTAATCAAAAAAAAAAAAAATTAAAAGTTAAATCTCTACATATTCAAATAAAAAACATTTTTAAAAATAAAATAAATTTCTAGCCACCGCCACATCGAGGTTCTACTGCATGCGTTTTCAAAATTACACTCTCTTAAAATCGATGGATAAATCATTAGAACAATCTTGACGAAACAAGCACATAACACAGAATGCGACCGAGCCCTCAAATTCGAAGCATTCACAATTATTACCGCGTTTTGGTAAACGTTACTTCTAGGTGATGAGGCGACCGGAAAATACCTAAAATCACATTTAAAGTTGAGTATTGCTGTGCTTATTATCGAATCCGGTGATGATTTTGGCGAAACTAGTAGCCGTGGTGGCGATCTGAGCAGCGGTCTCTGCCAAATTGGTGGCGACCGATGCGTTGGATTCGGAATTCCTGACCAATCTCTCCAAAACATCGCCGATTCTATTCAGTCCCTTATCCAGGACCGAACGCAGTGAACGCAGTTCCGCCAGACTCTTCATTTGATACTCTGCCGTCTTTGCCCTAAACTGGCGCAGTCTCTGGACCTTTCTACGCCTTTCAGCTAATTTCCTCTGTCTTTGCTGTTTGTTGAATTTGGGTCGTTTCTTAGGGCCGGCCGTGCTGAAATTTACTTCGTGAGTAACTGTGGGAATGTTACCGTTCTGAACGGGTTGAGTTGGAATGTTGACGGCCTGCAATGTTGTGGCGGAATGTGAGGAAGAGTCTTCACTTTCTATTGAGTCCGGATTAAAGCGTTTCTTTATCTGCAATTTTTTTTTATGTTTGTATTAAACTGGGGAGAATTTCAAATTTTTACAAGATTAAAATGCTACAACCTAAAGAAGACCTGTGCAGATTTAGTACAAATGATTTTTACGACTTGGGTTACCAGACTTGTTAAAACAAAAAATAAAAGGTGTAACTGAGAGCTACATCTAGTGGCCAATGCTACTCACTACCTGACACCTACAAAGAGGCCAAAAAATGGCAGAAAGCGACCTGTATTGCAGGTACTATGAAAGCATGACCCTGTGAGGACCAAAGTCACACTTTGAAACAACTACTTTACGGGCTATATGCCCCGACTAGCCTTGAATAACAGCAACTTCATTAAATACAACTGGGATAGAAAATTTTTCATATGATGCACAGTTTTTGGATGACATGGTAAATATAATTAGTCATGTTTTCAATATTTTCTTTTAATTGAAATTTTAAATATTCAACAATGTATAATTTGAAAACTTGAATACGAGTATTCTGGATTCGAGTACTCTGAATTTTGTATTCAGAATTTAATTAATCATGAATATGACCTCTGGTTCTTATTTGGTATTCAGACAAGCAAAAATTACTAGGAGAAATTTTTGCCATTTGGCAGTAATTTTAAGACGGTCACTGTATAATTTTTGAAATAATCATATTTGTCAGATATTTCTTTCTTTGGTAGATATTGACTAAAATGTTGGTAAGTGAAGTGAAGTCAAAAAAACTTATCTATCTAAAGTTTACATTTTTGCAACCTGGAACATTTTTCAACTCTACCTGAAGAACTTGGAAATATCGGAAATATTTCGGTCAAAATTTGGAATGATTTTTTTATTAAAATAATTTCTAGATTATTTTTTATAAAATAATATATTATTTATATTGGCAAATATAGTAGGTATACTTAAAGCTGTGGTATTGAGATAAAAATTTGTAAATTTGCCCAAAATTCATTATTGTCCGTCATATTGTTTGCAGAATTATTTCCTTTTATCGCTTTGTTCAGGAGATTTTGGGAACAAAGAAGACATTTCTGCATTGCAACATAAGACAAGATTAATTTTCCTCACTTCAAGTTTGTTTAATTAAAACCAAATCATATGTGTATTTATGGAAATTTTAGTAATTTTCAATCACAGCTGATATTAACTCTTCTATTTCTTACTAAGTTGAAACGCAAAATGGAGGCCATTATCCGAATGTATATAAACAGTGTGAAAAAGACAACATGTATGCTTAAAAAGGATTTACAACGAAAATTTAAAGTTTTGTAATTTTCTTTCAACGATTTTCGTATAAAGGAACGGGTAGTAAACTTACAGACAGTTCATCACATAGTGAAACTCCCATGTTAATCAGTGCTCTTTTATCTTGTTCGGTGAACTGATTTGGCACATCCAGAGCTTTACCGCTTCGCTTTATGCCCGACAATTTTTTTCTCAAATGTAGCTTGTAGTCGCTCCACGTCTAAAAGTGAAAATCATGAATTAACCCACGTGTGCCTCGTAAAACCATCACCGTGTATACCTTTTGCCATTTCTCAGTAGTTTTCTCTCCTATTCCCTGTTGATTTAAGATTTCAGTCAAATCGCGCCACTTTTTTCTATAATTAATTTTTGGCAGCTGCCCAGTTGCCAACCCGGGATTGGCCTCGAAAAAATCAAACATTTTGGTAAAATGCCTTGCAGTAGTTCGGACTGGACATTGCGGTTTCGACTCCTCTAGCTGCTTCTTTCGTTTCTGTGCCCTTTTGCTTAGTTTCTGAGCCGCGTCATCCAGATTTTCAGTCACTTCCTTGGGAGTATTGTTACTACTGTCCTCGATGTCTTTAGGCAATGATAAAGTTACGCCCTCGAAGGAATTAACTTCTTCCAAGTCTCTGCTACCGTTACTCACTAAATCTGTATGAAATAATTCATCTTTTTCGATAAAATCGTTTTCATTTATAATATCTAAGCCTTCCAACTCCATCTTATTGAACGTAGCGAACTGGAAGTTACTAACACTTATATCCATTATGTCCAACTGGTCCACGGTGCTAAAATTTTCTTCTTTTATGAGGGCATCTCTGCCGCTTAATATATGGTCGCTCAGATCTCCGAATTCTTCGCTTTTTAACTACAATGTAAAAAAATCGTCATTAATTATGAAATAAAGCAAAAATATCTACTTACAAAACATCCCTTGGCCCTATCATCGAAATCGCTCAACATGTCGCTGATTTTCGTACCGTTTTGCTTTTTTCTCACTTTCATTTTTGTTTACAATGTTAAAAACCTATGGTGGAAACAGGTTATAGGTTAAAAACGCCCAATCGATGACGTTGACGTACAACATACACCGCGTTTTATGCAAAAGTCAATTCATTTCCTTGTTTAGTTGGTTGCAGAACTAAAATTTTTTAGGTAGCTCTTGCAGACCGGTCCTAGTTCTTCAGGATTTTGAGTTATTTTGAAAAAAAAGTAAATGTGTCGTTTTCGAAAATCTTCTGTAACTTTTATTTTCAAGGAATTTTTAAGATTTCAAATCATTTTTTCACAGCAAGTTTTTTCGGGTAATTTCACTGTATATTTAGATTTTTATTGCGACGTTTCGGTTGCGAGAAACCATCATCAACTTTCGCTAAATTAGAGTATATTAATACAATTATGGAGTATGCACCGCGTGTTAAAATTGTAGACGCTGTAGAGAGAAAGAGCGATACTTTGGTTATTATCTCTCTCTCTATATATATAATTAGCCAATCAGTATTCGGAACACAGTATACTAATCAATCAGTAGGGAATCTTAAATGATTTATGAATGAATTCCGTATGGCAATTTTTAAGTACCCCCACCCTAGGAAAAGTCGCTAAGAATATGGCGGATCCTTCGAGCATATACTACTAGAGGCATGCAATTGAGAAAACTGTGGCTGAGTGTGCGAGAGAAACAGACAGTACATCAGTACATCCTGTCTCACTCTAGCACGTCACGATTGGTTGGAAATTAATGCTTCAACCAATCGCGGCGTGCTAGAGTGAGACAGCAAATCTGAGATACTGTCTGTCTCTCAGCCACACTTTTCGCATTGGCATGCTACCTCTAGTAGTATAGTAAACCTAAACTGTTCTTTTTCCTGGTTTTAATACTTTTAATTATTATACATTAATTTCTGATTAATTATTATAATCCGAGGTAATAAAGAGATTGTTAGCTATGTAGTAGTGTTACACGTAAATTGAGTTTTTTTTATTAAGAGAAGTTTACATTTTTTGGTTAAATACAGGTTTAGTTATTTGAATTCCAGCAGAAATAATTTAGATTAGATTATATCGGTCTGAATTTTATAAATTTTGTTCAAAAACTTACGAAAGCGTATTTATTTTCTAAACATATTTTAAAATGTAAGTTTACTATAATTTTTATTTCATTATTAACTATTTACTGGGTATAGTATTACTTATAAATAAATAATTACTAATAAAATACACAAGTACAAGATAACTAAACTGGACAACTACTCGACCAACATCATAAAATAAGGTTTTTAATGCATAAAGCTGAGATATAAGAAGGTTTAAGTGAGGTTAGTTACATATACAATAACGAAAACATACTAGATTTATGAATGAAAATATGAGTACGGAAATCGTAATAACTGTCAATCGCTAACAAAATGGTGGAAATATGGAAGACGCGGGAAACGTAACTTTCCCTACTGATTGATTAGTAAGTAAACTGTGATTCGGAACAACTGAGCCACTGAGATTAGTTGAGATCTCAGGTAAATAAAACTTTGCTAATGATTTCGCTGTTGCTCTGGTGTTTTTGGGAATACAATATTGGCTATTCTGGTTTTGCTGTTAGCATTTTCATTTTCCATTTCAAATAATCTCAAACATGCGCAGTATGCTGTGCGTCGTATCGTTTTCGTTTTTCGTTTCCTTCTCTCAGTCCGCCATATTTTTATTTGTACACGTATAAAGCGCTACAAATTTATTTTGTGCATTTTAACGGTGCATATTCTTTTCAAACCTGATTTACAACTGAAAGTTAGTGACCATTGCTGTGAAAATGAGTTACGGAAGACCTCCGCCTCGGATCGACGGTATGGTTTCCTTAAAAGTCGACAATCTAACGTACCGCACCACACCGGAGGATTTGAGAAGAGTTTTCGAAAGATGTGGAGAAGTCGGTGACATTTATATTCCCAGGGATCGGTTTACAAGAGAAAGCAGAGGCTTCGCTTTCGTCAGGTAAGTCAAAAAATTGCATTTACCTAACAGCCGACAACCTAACACTTGAGAGATGCAGGTTCTATGACAAGCGTGACGCCGAAGACGCATTAGACGCTATGGACGGTCGCATGTTGGACGGAAGGGAGCTGAGAGTCCAGATGGCAAGATATGGCAGGCCGACCAGCCCCCACAGGAGATACCGTGGACGAAGGAGGTAAATCCATTGTTTCGGTTAAGCTACTTAACCGATAATGAACGAAAGCTCCCCCCCCTTTGTAGGTCTCGTTCACGCTCAAGATATTCTCGCTCTAGGTCACGCGGAAGAAGAAGCCGATCCAGGTCTCACCACCGGAGGTCCGTCAGTAGGAGTCGCTCCAGGTCCGACAGCAAGAGTTCCAGGGGCAGATCCAGGTCGCCTTCGAAGGAGGACAAGGGGAGGTCCAAATCGAACAGCAAGTCACGGTCTCGGTCTAGGTCTTAGGTAAAGAAATAGGGATGGATAGGGAACTTAATACCTGTTTCGCATAGGGAGAAAACTTTCATTTCGGGGTTTCAAAATTACATTTAATTAGTCGCTAGAAATATTAGTTTCTTTTTTTTAATTATAGTGCTTTTATTTTTAATAGGTTTTGCTCGTTTTGCCATATAAATTTGTTTTAGAAACCTCGCAGTTTTTGAAATGTAGAATATTAAAAAAAAATGTTTTACCTCTACCTGCGTGCATAATACATGAATAAAAAATTATTATCAACCATTAAAATATTTGTGCAATTCCAATTGTTATATAGTTAAAAAAAGACGCCGTTTGTGGTAAGAATTCTCATCCAAAAATAGTACTGTCGACCGCTCCGCTTAATACTTTAATTTTTGAAACAACATATTTTTTTCCAATACTTTCTTTTATTTTCAGGTGAATTGGTGGTTTGCAGAGTGCAGTGCAGTAAAGTAGGCGCCTGCTCTCTAAAGGTATTTATTTAAACATTTATCACCTCTGACCTAACCAATTCTATTTTACAACCCGCCATTATTTTCTCTTATGTTTTCGAGTGTTTCAAGTACGGTTTAGTCCCAAAATATGAAAAAAAAAGTTTCGGTTCATTGAAAAAACTGATTATATTTAAATACCATCGTCGTTTTAATTGTTGCATCCATTGTAATATGAAAATCTGCGTCTAGAGACTCGATTAAATTGAGCTTGATTGATAAAAGTGTTTTTAATATACAAAATATACTTTCAAGGTATTCACATAAAAAAATTAATTTTTAATCTTTGACTGGGAAATGGAAAAATTTAAATTAAAGATTTAATTTTCAGGAGACTGATGCTTATTCTAAATTGAAAGTTTGTAACTTGTAGGATTATAGTTTGTGTTTCACTAGGTTAAGTTTTTTTGTTCGATGATTATATAATATGCTTATATATTTGTGGTTCAACGATTCCGCAGGTATATTATTTTAGTTTTCTCTGTTCCTTTGTAATTCACGTCACAATGTAAAATGTAAGGATTTTTCGTCTTATAAAATTTTCTTTACAGTTGTTTTTCATTTGTTTTTTTGTAGGAATCTTAGGGTGAACTTACATGCAGCGGTAATTTTTTCTGAAGCATAAAAGATAATTTTTGTCAGCACGAAAAAAAATTAGTGTGTTTTCCATAAATTCTGTTTTGATCGTTGAAAAAAAGGTTAAAGAAACGTCTATTTGTGATCTGAATAATCTTTGAAGTGGTAATAAATTGTACAGAGTGGGCCAAATTTGACGCTATTGGCAGTTTCCTTTTTCGCCATTTAGTCCTGTAGCCGGGGGGGTCCCAATTGCCTCCTTCATTTAGATAGAGTTACCCAAGTGTTTTTTATGTATTTTGAGCCGCAGAACACGAATTTTTTTGGGTAGAAGTTTGCCCGGATGTCGATAAGCTTTTTATTAACAAAAAACTTGCAAAATACTGCGAACTTAGTTTTTGGCAAAATAAAAAGTATTTTCTTGTTCTTTGACCCATTTTAAAATGTCTCTTGCAAATACTTTTTATTTTGCCAAAAATTAAGTTCTCAGTTTGCAAGTTTTTTGTTAATAAAAAACATATCGACATCCGGGCAAACTTCTACCCAAAAAATTCGTGTTCTGCTGGCTCAAAATACATAAAAAACACTTGGGTAACTCTATCTAAATGAAGGAGGCAATTGGGACCCCCCTGGCTACAGGACTAATTCAATTTTTCTCAAAAATCGGGCCCGTGATGTCTATACTACGTTTCTTCTATATTTTTTTGAGGAAACGGGAGAAACCCCCCAAAAGCTTCGAATTTGGCCCACCCTGTACAGTGTTTATGCAGTTTAAATCCATTTTATGCCATCTTTCGTGATCTTACAAAATTATTTTCCCGAAATCTCGATACAGGAAAAACATAAGCACAAGATACATTTGCCGGGAAAAGTTACCGTTGCGCCCCAAAACCGCACACAAAAGATCACTCACTGTATAAAAATATCGCCGATACCGGACCCAGCTTCCCTGATACTAACGTATTTTATGTGCACAGCAGGCGGAGAGTTGCTGTGGGCAGAGAGTAGCTGTTGCAGTGCAGTGCAGCCAAAGGTGCGAGAATGTACGAGAGTGTAGCGGTGGTAACGGGTGTACGAGAGAGAGAGAGAGCGGACGGCTGCGGTGTGGACCCTTGCCAGGCCCAGGGCGCAGTCTCTCAGTCAGTCATGCGAACTGTACCACCTGTCCAGCTCACCAAAAATATACTTAGATTGATGAGAGGCGTAGGGCTAGGTGGAAAAAAACGACAAACCCTCTCGGATTCGTTATTTGATATCTTTGACGGGTACCCGACGTGTTTTTTTGTTACGTGATACAAAATTTGAGTAGAACACTTGATTTACGATATTTTAGGTGTGGCGCTGTGATCAATCGAGGTTCGGGAAATTCGAGTTACTTTTATTTGTTCATACTTTAGTGCGGTTTAAAGTTGTAGGGAACTTAAATCTTGCCGAAATTACTGTAGTTTTAATTTCCTATGTACAAGGCGTTTTGGAAAAGGTAGACGGGACGTCAAAATATATATTTTTCCTAAGGACCACGGTCTTTTCCGAAAAACGGCGTGACGTATTGAAATTTTGTACGGGCAAGGTTTCAAGTGCGATAAAATGCATTGGTGTTGTTTGTTTTTGAGTATTTGCTGGAGGTTGCTATGTAGAAGCTTACCCTGTGACATTTTATTATATAACTTTTTTCAGGTTCGGTTTTATACAGGGTGTAACTTACGTGCGTGTCAGTTTTTTAGGGGTAATAGTACGTGTTCTCCTGAATACGAATCTGAAATTGTTATTTTTTAAATCTAATAAATAGTCACATTTGGAGACGGTACATCTAGCTGTGAATTTGAACGTTTTTCGTAGCTGGAAGCCATAAACGGACCATTTATTTTTGTGTATTTCATTTATCATTATTGATTAATGCTTGAGTTTTCTTGCTAAGTTGTTAAATACTGACTGTTTGTGTGGCGAACAACCACTCAACAAAAGTAGCGCCGTTATTTGAGGTACACTAGCTTCTCCAGCGGCGGGGTACGAAAATTACTAAAGAAGGGTTTAATAAAAAATTAAGTTTTTACTACGGAATTTGAAAAAGTAAACTATCGATACGTGTTTCTAAAGGTCAAAGTCTTTATAAATATGACCCCTAAGTTACACCCTGTATGCAATCGACTCTCCCAAAATCAACTAGCTTCTATTTCTCAGATTTGGGTACAACTTGTCACAAGTTGACCTATTTTTTATTCGGGCTCACTATACAAGGTGATTCATTAACAATGGGAAAATCGAAACCTGAAGATACTGCACGTAAAATGGTGGCCATTGGCGTAAACATGCCTTATCCGAAAGTTGATAGTTTCGGAAATACAGGGTGTTGAAAGTTAAAATTTTAAATCGTTTTTTTGCGATTATTCTGAAAATATGTAGGTTAGGAACTTGAAAATTTGTGAAACTATATTTTTTTAGGCGACGAATAAGATGCGTGTTGTAATTTCAGCATTGCTCATAGAGGGCGCCACTTACGACCAATTTTACCGAAAATTTAGTTAATAACTTTTTACCCTGTATGTCTAACTTGAAACTTGGTTCAAAACCTGAAAGAGCAATAATTTTTCCATTAATTATGTACTCTTGTTTCATTTCGGTATCTCGATGCGTTTTCGAGAAAAATAGATTTAACGAACACTATGTTTTGATGATACGAGAAAGTAATAGCGAAACGAACTAAGTGTTTCTTCATGGTATTACAACAATTAACAATAAAACAAATGAAATACCTACGTAATAATGATTTAAAGTAATTGTCTGAAGAATCCACCGTTGACACTGATACACTTTACACAACGTTTTCTGAGAGATCTTCGAGTTTGAAACAACATATTGGGATTGCGTCTGACTTCGTTGGCAGCGATTTGTATTCTTTGCCACAAGTCTTCATACGAACCAATTTTCTCAAGATTCAAGAAATCATGAGGATGAAATCTGGTCTTCTGGGTGGCCAAACAAAAATGCTTTTACGACTTGAAGTTCCACTTCATTTATGAAGAGACATGTGGTTCATGTACTACGGAACTCTGCCGTATTTTTCTCGGCCAGTGCGTGCATATTTAAATATAGTTTTTCCAAATCGCTGGGTTGGCCATGTAAGCATTTTTGCTTGTCCACCTAGAAGTCCAGACTTCAATCCTCTTGATTTTTTTTTTTTGGTCTTGAATGAAAGATATAGTTTACAAAGAATCTATTGGTTCGTGTGAAGAGGTGTGCCACAGAATACGAATCGCTGCCAGCGAAGTCAGACGCAATCCCAATATGTTGTTTCAAACCTGAAGATATCTCCGAAAACGTTGTGTAAAGTGTATCAGTGTCAACGGTGGATTCCTCGAACAATTATTACTTTAAATCTTTATTACGTATTTCATTTGTTTTATTGTTAATTGTTGTAATAACATGAAGAAACACTTAGTTTGTTTCGCTATTACTTTCTTGTATCATCAAAAGATAGTGTTCGTTAAATCAATTTTTCTCGAAAACGGATGGAGATACCGAAATGAAACAAGAGTACATAATTAATGGAAAAATTATTGCTGTTTCAGGTTTTGAATCAAGTTTCATATTAGACATACAGGGTAAAAAATTATTAACTAAATTTTTGGTAAAATTGGTCGTAAGTGGCACCCTTTATGACCAACACTGAGACTGCAACACGCATCTTATTCGTCGCTTAAAAAAATGTAGTTTCACAAATTTTCAAGTTCCTAACCTACAATAGTTTCAGAATAATCGCAAAAAATCGATTTAAAATTTTTGCTTTCAACATCCTGTATTTCCGAAACTATCTACTTTCGGATAAGGCATATTTGCGCCAATGGTCACCATTTTACGTGTAGTATCTTAAGCTTCCGATTTTCCCATTGTTAATGAATCACCCTGTATATTTTTTTAACTTCATTTTAAAGGTATTAAGCTAATTCAAAATAAATTCAAAAAATTTCCTAAAGATCCTGTCAATTGAAGTCTAACAATATTTTTCGATACCAAAAATCTAGTTGGGTAGATATGCAAAAGATATCTAACCTCATAGACAAGACATTATTTTTACAAGACCTACCGAAAGATTGCTCACCATTTCCTGTACACCCTATATGCAGGGTGTCCGGAAAATAATAGGTCACGCCTATCTTGAAGGGAAACAAACCGATTTAGATGAAGTTATCAGCATTTAAAATAATGTATGTTCCACTTTAATAGTAACGTAATTTTTTTAAAAATGTGTTTCTAGATCGGTTTGTTTTCATCCAAGGAAGCTTCTCTTCAAATATGGCCGCTTCATTTTCAAATCCCTTATATATTAAGGAGTAGAAATAGATGAAAATGGGTCAGTTGCGTTTTTCTCGAAAAAACGACTTTCTATGCTTTTTATATTTTTGAGAAAAAAACGTAATCTCAAAAAAGCTATATCATAAAATGTTGCTGGGTAAGGTAGTAGCAGATGGTCAAAAACTGATAAAATCGAGTATTAGCACCCTCAAAAACTTTTCTGTACCAAATCTCTTCTGGTTTACAGGAAAAAAATCGTCTAATTGTTGCCGTTCTATTAACCCCTGAGTCTATGATACCTTATTTTCGAAACGCCCTGTATAAATGGAATTCAAAATGTCGAAAATCTTCCTAAATTAATAAAAACTTCATACTGATAGTTTCTTAGGGGAAATATTAGGCGCGTGATATGTCTATTAAGATTGTAAGTCATTTCATCGTAAAATATGGATAAAAGACTAATAAGAACTTATTCTCTGAAAAATTACTAAACCTAGTCTGCATATGAGGGTAAAAGGCTGTTTTAGGCAACAATTTCCAAATTCCTTTTTGACTCGGTTGGCTGTCAGTTTGGATCTGCACTAAAACAAAGGAATATGGGGGGAGGGAGTAGGGGTTGAGGATTTGTAAAAGTAATATATATTTTCAGGTACTCTAGGTAGGTAAACGATATATGCATATATTATTTTGTTTTCTGCATCTTTTGTTTTATAAAACTTTCATTATTTATTTTCAGGTAACGTTCTTTCACCTTTTTTCAGATATATTTTAGAAGATTTGCTAATATAAAAGTCTTACTTAATTCTGGTTTTTGTTTTCCTTTCCCTTTTCTTGCGCGCCTGCATAAACTTGAAAAATTTAGTACAGCTTGATTTTGATTGTCAGAATGACACGAATATCACTTATCTCGGATAATTCAAATTACAATTTTTTTTAATTCAGAACGTATGAAATATGTCTATATTTATAAAGTACTCATAATGTGCTAGAACTTTGTTCAGTATGTCATACCTTACAAAATATTTGATTATAAGACTGCAAAGAAACGATAAATCTGTGTGTGTTTCATAACTGTCAGAACTCCTTACCATTATTGTGCACACATACGGGTTGCTTATCTAACAAAGACCAGAGATAGTTTTATTTTTATGAATTTGGTCCTTTTTTGTATGTTTTGACAACAGAAAAACTTGTTTTTTTTTTCATAAGGTTCACACTATTAAATTGAAAATGTCTTGATATACAGGGAGTTTTAATTAAAACTTCCCACCTAGAAAATATCGGAATTAAAAAAAGAACAGGCGATGTCAATTTAGGTCAAGGGGACATGGCGTAAGTTTTAGTGCCTTGGAAGTTACCCCTTCGGCAGGGGCGTAAAATAGCCTTAGACTTAAATGCCACACCCTACATTGAGTGATATCATTTTAAAGCTTTTTCAATTCTGTTCATGACGACATATTAAATTTTGGTTTGGACACGACAATAAAATCTGCTCCACTTCCCAACGAACATTTCAGGCATTATCCGATGACATTCTTCAACAATTCACCATCTTGCTGAAACCACATCCTCTTCTGGTAAAGTGTTGTCATGTTCCAATACTTCTACAATCGTCAGGTAGATATTCGTTTCCAGTAGATTCAGATACATGTTTCCATCCAGATTTCTCGGTAAAAAAAAGGCCTTATGATGTGTCTCCTAGTATGCCCTCCCAACCATTCAATTTACTTGGATGCTGCATTTGAGAAATTGTTGAAGAACATCGTCAGATGACACCCGAAATGTTTGTTTGAAAGTGGAGCAAATATTTTATTGTATTGTATTTGAACATTTAATAAAATAACATTTTTTCATTCATTGATATTTTCTCTTTTTCTTTAAGTGATGATTTTATTGTCATATCCAAACCAAAATTTAAAAAGTCGTATGTCGCCGTGAGCAGAATTGAAGAAGGCTTTAAAACGAGTTGTCACTCATAGGGTGCCATTTGAAGTTTAAGGATATTTTATGCGCCTGCCTAAGGGATAGCTTTGAAGACACCAAAACTTATGCCATTACGTGTCCTCCTTGAAAAGAAAATCGACGTCCCAAGTTTGTTTTTTTTTAATTCCGAAATTTTCCAGGTGGGAAATCATAATTGAAACGCCCTGTATATTTATATCTGTCGCAGTTTTATATCATATTAGTGGAATATGTTAAATTAATATATTTTTTTTAACACGGAGGACATTTTTGGAAAAATGCTCATATGAAAAAGCCTATTTAATATCAAAATTACTATTAGTCCAGTTACTCAGGGTTTTTACCTCCGAATTCTTTATAACTGAACCGATTGTCGTGAAATTTTGACTGAATATGGGGAATGCCTCAAGGAACAAAACTTATATAGTGCCGAAGTGTGCTCTTGCCCTGGAGCACAGTGGGAAATATTCTCGCCACTCGCCAATTTTCGTCTCGTGATTTTTTTTTTAATGTAATCTGAATTTTCATATTCCGGTGAGATTTCTTCGAAAAACACTTTTTTTTAATGCTTAGGGAGCGCCCCAACTTTAATGTCGAAGAAAAAATTTTTAAATACTCGATGTAGAAAAAATGTTTAAAAAGTATCTGCTATTAATAAAATTGATTATGACCCTTGATGATATATTTGGAGTTAGGTTTTTGAAGAAAAAACATCAGATATATCATCAAAGGTCATAATAAGGGGCGCTCCCTAAGCATTAAAAAAAAAAAGGTTTTTCGAAAAAACCTCACTGAAATATGAAAATTCAGATTACGATTATTAAAAAAAAAATCACGACGAGATGATGAAAATTGGCAGGTGGCGAGAATTTTTTCCAATATTTCCCACTGTGTGGAGGTGGAAATTTTTGCTCCCAAAATAACAACAAGAATCGATAGAGGAGTCAATTTTAAGTAACAAATGTTATATAAAGTTTTTTGGATAATCCAATACTTTCCAAGTAATTCGTCATTGAAAATGTTGATTTTTTACTGAAAAAGTGCTTGTTTTCGGACAGTTTCTTGCAAATAACTCTGAAACCGTTGGATTTAACGAAAAAGTTGTAATTAACAAAAAGAAAGGTAATAAAAAACAAATCTAATGGCATTATTTTGTTTTTCTCTAATTGCAATATAAACCGAGTTATGGATTTTTAAACATTATTATATGTTAGCTAAAAACTAAATTGGAACCAGTTAACGTTAAATAACGCCAAAACCATAAATAATAGGAAAAAATTATTTGCACCTTCTTTAAAGTACTTTGAAAAATCTTTAAAATGAGCTGTTTTAAAAGTCTAGAATCAAAATTAACGGATATATGATCGAAATAACATGACTCATATTTTTTTAAGAAAAAATTAATAAACAAATCAGTGTCTTTGGCGACGGAATTAAAATTAAATGCAATCCATTTACAGATTTCTTCATTTAAGTTTTAAGAATATGTTCTGGGTCTTTAGCTCACTTACAAAGCATGATTTCGAAAAAAAACTTAATTTTTGAAAATGTTTTCAAATTTTTGAAAAACAATTCGATTTTTAAGCTGTAACTTAAAAATTAAAGGGTGTACGAAAAAAATACAAGAGTAAAAAAAAATTGCTTTATTTTTGCCGAAGATTTTGCTATATTTTTTTATTCCTCTAAAATTAATATTAATCGAGATATCGCCATTTTAAGTTCTCACATGAATGAGGGAACCACCCTTTTTGAGCCCTTTAAACCCTTCAAACGTAAAAATGAAGGGCTTAAAAAAGATCAACTCAACAGTTCACGTAGCCCTTACAATTCCTTGCAAAATAAGCCTTTGTGCGATTAAAAATCTTAAAAAGTAAGAAAGTTATCGTCAAAAAAATAAACACGTGTATAGGTGATAATTTTAGGAAAATTTAGGTCAAGATTTTTGAAGCATTTAGATCTTTTCTGTATATACAGGGTGTCTCATAATTAGCTGCCAACCCTGAACAGCCGATTCTATGATCAAAACTAAATAAAAAAGTTCATATGAACATGGGTCCGGAAATGCTTCCTAAGGGCACAGGGACCCATTGAAGAGGGAGGAATGGAAATCATTTTTTTGCAATATCTCTCAATCGCGTTGTGATAAATGAATGAAATTTGGTATACACAGCTAAATTTTGATGAGCAATTTGATGGACTAATCCATTTATTTCCACAAGGTCCATTGGGGTGGGTACGGGGGGGCCCTTGGTACTTTGCGTGTGTAACTTTTTCATCTTTGACTTTTTAACAAATTGGACAGCAAATTCCGTTTTCCCGAACTGTTTTACGTTAAAAAGGTACTCTTGTTTCAAATCGTTATCTTTAACGGTTTCTGAGAAAATCGCTCTTGAATTAATCCCACTTTGGTCAATTTCATAGTAATTTAAACAAAAAAAATTTTTTTGTTTAAATTTAATCTAATTTTAATAAAAAAATAATAATAAAAAATTAAATTAAATAAAAATTAATCCTTTAAATGGAAAAGAGAGGAAAGGAAAATTATTATTATTATTTTTTGTTTAAATTACTATGAAATTGACCAAAGTGGGATTAATTCAAGAGCGATTTTCTCAGAAACCGTTAAAGATAACGATTTGAAACAAGAGTACCTTTTTAACGTAAAACAGTTCGGGAAAACGGAATTTGCTGTCCAATTTGTTAAAAAGTCAAAGATGAAAAAGTTACACACGCAAAGTACCAAGGGCCCCCCCGTACCCACCCCAATGGACCTTGTGGAAATAAATGGATTAGTCCATCAAATTGCTCATCAAAATTTAGCTGTGTATACCAAATTTCATTCATTTATCACAACGCGATTGAGAGATATTGCAAAAAAATGATTTCCATTCCTCCCTCTTCAATGGGTCCCTGTGCCCTTAGGAAGCATTTCCGGACCCATGTTCATATGAACTTTTTTACTTAGTTTTGATCATAGAATCGGTCTGTTCAGGGTTGGCAGCTAATTATGAGACACCCTGTATACGTATTTAGTATGTGTATATTCGAATAAACCAGTACTATACTATATTATAACTATTATATTATAATAAGGGAATAAATGTTTATTTAATATGAATGCACATTTAAAATGTTTCTACTCTTTCAATAATAGTTTTTCATTTTATTATCGAACCAAGGGGTATTTTTCAAGGGTTGAAAAGTTGCAATCGATAAAAAAGATTTTTTAATCAAGAAATCAATTTTAATTTTATAAAAATGCATAATTAAATCATTTCAAGTTGAAAAAAATTTTTTTATATTATTTTCATTCAAAGGGGTGGTTTTTAAAGGTTTTTCCGGGTTGAAAATTTGGGATATATTACGTTTCATGTTAGATAGCACATGAAATTACTCATACTGCATAAATAAAAAAGATTTGGTTACATAAAATGCTTAAATTTGTATTATTTCTTTTTTTTTCCAATAAGGGGTGGTTTTCACTCCTTAAGAACAAAAAGCACACCTGGCGCATATATAAGTTTTGAAGTGGGGGGTAAGATGAGCCTAATTCAAAATTTTAAGAAAAATCCATGCAGTTACAAAGAATTCAGAGGTATTACTATATTTTCAGCTACAGTAACTGGGCTATATCACATTCTCTCGGGTCTGTTGTTAAATCTGTATAAGGATTGACTTTAGTAAACTAAAGACCAGAAGTATTGTAAAATGTCCTTTATTCTTACAATAGTTTTAAATACACTTAATGTATGACGAACAAAATATATATTGCAAACTTAAACAGTAGGTGTTAATATTAGAATTTGAAAAAAATATGTTAAGAAAATATAGTATAAAAAAACTTGAAAAATTGTGGTTATATATACAAAAGAAATTAACAAGACATCGTTATGTGATAAATGGTGCTGGCATTGCCTAAAAAATATATTTACACTTATCAGAACTTAAAACGTACTGGTAAAAATTTAAATAAATACTGGTGTCGGAGCCCAATCTAATGCTTACACTCTTAAATCGTACATTATAGAAACGATCACAATTATTTACAAAACCCATTGGGTACGCACATCTTAGACAAGGACGGTACTGTTATCCTGCCTTAAAAGTTAACCTTAAAATGATTCTGGAGCTGAAAATTGATTCGGGACGGTTGGACGTCAACTTTTTCAAGTGTTGCAGAAGATCCGAAATTTACATGTGCAATTTTTATAAAATACACAATGATAGCTAACGTTTGTGGATGGTTCGGTAAAAAATATATGAAAAACTTTACTCACAAAAGATCTAAGTACATTATTCTCATTTTCATCCCATAAGAACAATTATATTAAAAAAAGTTTGCAATGCGAAATTTTTTGTACTCAAGAAATTTAAGTTTTTCCTATCTTAGATGGGAAAGTGAGGTACAGAAGTAAATGACAAAGATGTGGTTATGTTTATTTTAAAGGGTTATTTCTTGGAGATTGCAAGGAGTAATTTTTTTAAGTCATTCAACCACAGTCCAACCAAATTACACTTGCAGAAAATAAAAATTATTACCTGGACTTTTATAAGTGGAAATGGTAAAAGGGCTTATAATAAACCTAAAAGCAATAAATAGTTTTGGGTCAAACAATGAGACAGTTTTTTTTTGTATTTTTTCCGTACAATTGAATGGTGTAGTTTTTAATTTTATTTTTAAATTTAAACAAATCAACAATTACTGAAAAATTGATTGCTGCGTCATTTTTTACTTTTTTGCATTTTTGAGCATGTTTTTGAACTGTGATTACAAATTTTTTTATTTGACCAAAACCATGTCAAAACGAAAAAAATGATCACCAGCAGAACTCTGTACAATGATTTTTTTAAGTAGAATTTTTCTTTGAAAAAAGTGTTTCAGGCCGAAAAAAATTAATATCAGAAACTTCTTGACTTTTTTATCTAAAAAAATTTGAGGTTATTTAAAACAGAGAAAAGTATACTTTCACCAAGTTTTGACAAAATTAAATTATTTTTGCGGAAATGAGAAATAAAAAACGAAAAATCTGAAAAAAACCTGTTTTTCGCAGTTTTTTCGGAAACTTTGAGGTTATGTTAAAAATTACCTCTACAAAAGTTGTAGATTTTTGCATGAGCTACAACTTTTGTAATAGATACTTTTTTGTTTGACGTCAACTTTCGCCAGAAATCCCAATGATACAATTTTTCATAAGTTTTCAACCCCCCAAATCAACCCCCTGCCGTCCCTGCTCAGGCATTTATTTATTTTTTTGTTTATTATAAGCCTCTTTACCATTTCCACTTATGAAAGTCCAGGTAACAATTTTCTTTTTTTTTCCCTCTAAATGAGTTATTTTGGTCGGTCTAAAACCAAAAGGTATAAAAATCACACGAATGACGATTCACCAATTTTTGTCTATTTTAATTTTTTATAGAATTAATACGAAAGCAATAGTAGAAGTATTCTATGTTCTTCCCTATAAACTACAACTTTTCACATCTAATCAGTTTATCACAGCTTATATCCAAAATAAGAATTTACCCCACTCTTCCCTAACAAAAATATTTACCAAGCCGCCTTTGCTTTACGGGGTCGACTAAATTCGACGCTTTGGGAGGGCGTCTCCTATTTACCTGAAAAGATTTAAAAAACGGCTCTGTATTCAAGGGAAATTCAAAGCAAAAACCACACCTTAAAATCTATTCTACGCTTTTCAATTTTTTACTTTTTCTGCTACAATCTATAATTTTTTTTGTTTGTAGAAATAGTTGATTTTTGTGACGTGATTTTTGCACAGCTCACATGATATTTTTCCGACACTTCCGACTCTTCAATTAGAAGAACTTTTATTATTATTTTTTTTTTAATAATTTGGATAATTCTCATATTTTTTAAAAGAACATATTTATTTATTTGACCACTTTGTATCTTAAAAACTATTAATTGTTTATACATGTTTATGTTTGCTTAAAGTGTGTGTCAACATACTTGAACATCCCGTATACATAAGAATATTCTTTAATAAAATACTTTTGTGTTATAATTGAAAAACCGGAAGTTATAGAAATATATGACATATGCCTTTGGATTCTAAGCACAAAAAGGCAGTACGAAAGTAACCTAATTGCAAAAATTAAATATTTAAAAACGAAACGAAAATTGAAAAATGCTCAACTTTTTTCCTACCTCCACCTTTTCCATAAATAGAGCAACCACCCCAAAAATGTCGAATTCAGCCAACCCAGTACATGTTGCAACTAATACTTGTTCAACATTACTGGAAGAAAAAAGGATTACATTAATATCTCATTTTTTCTCAACAACGTTCCGAATAACACAAAACAAACCAAATCAAATCCTCATTTTATTCACTGCTCAGCTATCAGCATCCTGCAAAATAAAATAAAACACTCCTTGAACTGGATTAAAATTAAAAGAAACCTCGATTTTGCTCAAGGTCCCCCATCCCCCCAGCGTCTCAATGTCCCCCACAACAGCATCGCTCCCACCGAGAAAGCACCCACGAGGCAGCGTCAAGATATGGAGCAAGAGTTACGGGGTACGCAACTCGTTCTACCATCCATGGCAGCGCCTGGCGACGTCGGGGTGCTCGTGAAACGCAACTTGCGTCCCCCGTGGCCCTTTTTCTGACTGTGTGTGTACCTCAGCTGCGTGGAAGTGGATGTGAGAGCGTAAGATTTCAGGTGGGACTTCACGCAAGTCGGCAAGGGTAGCTGCTCGATGCTATAAACCGTGGTTCGGGCCACTATGGCCCTACAGCACAGTTCTTGGAGGCTCAGAACTAAAAATACAAAAATTAATATATAATAATAATAAT